TGATGGGGGTAAGCTAGATTTGCCATTTTTTGGGTATGGAGATAGACGAGAAGAGCTTTCGTGTCGTTGTTTTTTAGGATGTCTATTTGAATAGTCAAGTTGGTAGTCTTTGGTAGTATTGATGTTGTCTGCTGTATTTGTCTTTGAGGACTGCTGTTGGTGGTCCATTTTTTGGGGTCTCCCCCTTAGTCTTGGGGTGATCTTGTAAACTGTGTAGGGTATTGAGTTGCTGTTGCTTTCGTCTCTTGTTCTTTTAGTTATTTGTGTGTAAATTTTTGATATGTAATTTTTTTTGTTATTTAAATAACATTGTCTAGAACTTTATAGAGCTGGCACACAAAGTCTAATAATGCTAGCAAAATTTTGTAATGCAGGTCAATAATTATGTGCCACTGCATTAATTAATGTAAAGATTAGTACATACGTATAATTTGTAATTTTATTGAATTTATTATACCAAAATAATAACTTAACTAAAATGGACAAAAAAATTATTCAGAAGATTTTTTATTAGGTGTAGTCATATTGCTTCGGTACTATAGATGCAGACTTATTTACATCACTAGTTATGACTCAATTGCATTTTATTTTATAATCTGATTTTTTATATAGGACGTAACTAGGTGATATCATAAATTTGCATCTATATTTGGTACTACTATTCTACAACCTCAATGATCCTCAAATCCTATATATATATTTAATTTTTTATTCTAACCCAGGTTTGACAGGTAATCTTTGTACCTGGATTATACTTTTTTAGAACAGGTACAATCACTAATTATAATTTTTTGTTTAGAGCATAGCAGAGAATTCACATATTTATGTTTATTGATAGCCAAAACTATATTTTTGAAATATTATTATTAAAAATATCAATAATATAGTTTTAGTATTTTCTATTTGTAATATCATGTGTCTATATTTGCATATTTGTATAATAGCAATATAAAAATAAAGCTTTTTATATAACAATATAATATTTGTCTTATACTCTAAACTTATACTAGTTCTTGGTTTCTAGTCTTTAAAAATAGTCTATATAGGTTTAATTAATAATTCTCTAGTAAACTGATTAATTATCTTAATATAATACAACATAGTTCTATATATAAATCTCTTAAGATGGAAATGTGGCATTCACACAAGAAAAACTTTTTTTCTTACTAAGTAAATTATCTTTGAGCTTCTAACAAAAGTTGTAGAGCTCATTAAGGCGCATCTAATAGTAATAAGAACATTAAAATTGGCTTGTTAGTTCTTGAGAAATCTTTAAAAAATGTTTTGGCAACTATATAAAATCTTCTTTAAAAAAATCGATTTTCTTTAAAGAAATTTTATATGTCAATGAAACATTTTTTAAAGATTTCTCAAGAAACCACCAAGCCAATTTTAATGTTTTTACTACTATTAGATTCATCTTGATGAGCTCTACAACTTTTATTTTTTTTTTTGTTTCTAAAGCAATCCTGTTTGCTTTATTTGTGAGAAAAAAACCTCACTAGTATGAGGCACATACTAGCTACAGAATCTATTGTTCTCAAACCTATTAGCTAAACTACCCAAGCTAGCCACGTAGTTGCCGAAGCTTCTACTTGCAGTCAGGGCGAACTATTAAACTGCTTATACTTTATATCCAAATTGACCTGCCTGAGCAAACCCTTGGTCTTCTCTAGAGGTCTGAAACTTGCTTCAGACTTTTTTTCTCCAGAATCCTCGACTGCCGGTTTGTGAGCTTTGTCAAGATTCCTGCCCTACAATAGAATACCGCCAATCTGATAACATTTTCTTGTAGGGAAGAAAAAAGGAAAAAAAAAATTTTAAACAGAAACAAAAAAAAAAAGTAGGAAAACAAAAACAAATACATATACGAAAACAGGTACTAATATAAAAGAAATCTAAAAACTAATCTAAAAACCTATAAAAAACTATTGCTAGAATAAAAAAACCTGCTAACCAGATAAAAACTTCATCTATACAGAGTAACGAACTATTCATATTGACTTGTAAGAAACTTGATATATCGAAAAAAGAAAAAGAAAAAACTACTATGCACTATAACTCGTGCTAGAGGATAAAAATTATATACATATGACTATAGGAATGTCAGTATATCTTATTTCACTTTGCTTCTTCTTTCTGTAGTAAATCTATATCATTGTCTGAAAGTATATAAGAACTTTGAAGCTCCACGTCTATATCGCACATGTTTATATATTTTAAAAACAATATACCATGTGAAGTACTCTTTCGGTTACCTGATCCAGTTACTTCATTCACCGGCACTATCCATTTTACACATGTTGTTTTGTCATTATATAGTTTCCCAATATAGAAGTGGTAAATATTGCCGATCTTTGGTAAAGGGTTTGCCGAATTCTCTACTTTTTGTCAAAAATTGTGGCCAAAGTATCGAGTGAGAAAAAAATACAGATATTACAAGTATCTAACTAAAGAATGTTTTTCCAATTGTTCTTTGCTATCTTCTATCATCAAAAAACTTAGTTTTTCTTTTTACTTGCTATTTCCAGAGACTCCTCTGGTTTGAATACCAAATATACATAGGAGTCCGCCTGAGACAAGAAGAAAAGAACCAAAGCTTGACTCTTGTATAAACCATCCAAAACGCTCGCTTCTTGGTATATCATGTTAAAGACTTTGTTGACAACAGTTCATATCAAGAAAACCTAAAGTTGGTGTTGACTTTTGGTCTTGAGTCTTCAAATTATATTCAGTGAATAGTTGGTATAAGTGATCATTAGAAAGAGTTGAATCATAATTGTTTCTGATTAGCTCTACAACTTTTATTAGAAGCTCAAAGATGATTTACTTAGTAAAAAAAAAGTTTTCTTTAGACAAACACTATATTTTTTTAAAAAATCTCCATATTTCTATCTATATGATTTACATATAGAACTGTATTGCGTTATACTATAATAATTAATTAGTTCACTAGAGAATCATCAATTAATAAAGAATAAAATTTACTGTTTTTAAAAAATTTAGTATGCTTTATTAAATCTTTAATATATTTTAAACTTCTTAGTTTCAACTTGGTTATACAAATAATTTTTTTTAATATTAAAGTAATTTTATAGTTAGAAGTTTTTATTAATTTGTATACTAAACTGATCTTAGTTAACCACTATTCATTTAATATATAATTTTAGAAAATACTACTAATCATATATACAATTTTTGGTTGCCTATTAAAGTAGTCATCTAAAAATTTTATACTAGATATTATATTTTTTAATTTAATTAGAAGATTATTTATTTAAACCCTTTGTATTATAGAAGAACTCTTTCCCGTACATCACTAAAATTAAGTAAACAAAAAAGTAAAAAATCGAAAAAACCATAGAGCATAATTAAATAACTATAAGA